GCTTTCTGCTGTTTTGGATTTATGATTTTGAAAAGAAAAAGAACTTTCTTTTTTTATTTACAAACACAATTAAGACCCCAATCATTTTAAAAGAACTGATTTTAAAAAAATTTAAACAACCATAAACCGTTCTTATATGAGGTGATGTGGAATTCCACTCAATGTCCTTGAATTGTAACATGTAACAAGCGCTACAAAAAAGCGAAACAAAACTTCATCCAAACTACAAAGATCAAAGCCATAATTTTGCTATGAATAAATAAAAATTAATTGTTATTAGCAATTTAAAAATCTTATTCTGCATTCCAAACTTTTTATAATTAGAAAGGAAAATATACTTTTAAGGAATGTAAAATAATTTTTTTTAAATGTTTATAACAATTCTCAAATAAAAAGATACATAAATCCAAAAAAAGAGATGATGACTCATAGCATTGGATAATCCTTGTTTAATGCTTGATTCTTGGAACATAATCCAATAATTTAATTTGTAATTAAAAGACCAAAAATTGGCGAGTGCTGACCTGTCATATGCATAAATTAAGCGTATAAAGGGGGATTTGATATTCCACGTCGGTATTTTCCTTCTTCGTCGAACATTCTCGGTTCCTCCCAATTCACACTCACAGTTTGAAAAAGCCAAAAGAACACAGAAGAAGGAAAGAACATAGTATTCATTCAACAATGGTGAAGAGGAGGATCACTCCCTCTCTCTACACTCTGATTCTCTCTCTATCGGTAGTTTCCTTGGCAATTGCAGTCAGAGTAACGCCTCTCCTGCAAACCCAGGAGAAACCCAGTTTTCAAAGACCAACATTTAATCGCATTTTTGATACTTCCAAGTATGGCATTTTGCAGCTCAACAACGGCTTGGCTCAAACGCCTCAGATGGGGTTCCTCTCTCGCTCTCTCTCTAACTTGTAGTATTAGAAGTTTGAAGTTTGTTCTTTCTTGGTCTGCTTACTCCTACCCAGCTTTTGGATTGTTTGTATTTGATGGAAAATATAAAATCTTTATGTTAATTGGATTTTTTTGTGGGTTTTTGGAGTTGGGTAGCTGGGAATTGCAGTTTTATAATTACCCTTCCGATGGTTTACTGGTTTTTGCATTTATGAAATGAAAGTTCACTTCTTGACATTGTAATTATTTTTTTTGTTGATGCACATTGTATTGTATGCGGGCAGGTGGAATAGCTGGAATTTCTTTGCTTGCAATATCAATGAAACCGTGATCAAGGAAACCGGTACTCTTTTCGTTGCGATTGAGTCTGCTCCGATGCCTTTTATAGATTATTGGTTGCATTTCTTTATTGCATCAATGTTTGTCTTTGTGCTGGTGTGTATCCGGCACATGGTAAATATATGCTTATATTAATTGGGAAAAAAGACCAACATGATTCGATCATTTGATCGGTTCAATGTATTAACATTTCTTCATCCTCAACCGAGTTTTGCAGAGGTACTGACATTTATTTTGATGATGGACAGCTGACGCGCTCATCTCAACTGGCTTAGCAGAATTAGGTTATGCGTATGTCAATATAGGTATCATTTTGGCATATCTTAAGTATTTGGTAAACTTAAACACTTGCTTGTACTTATGCTGTAATGCAATGTCAATGAGTGCAGATGATTGCTGGTCTTCTCCAACACGAAATTCCAAGGTCAGTTGAATTGCATTACCTAAACCAAGATGTATTTCTCCCTGTCTCTATAATTTGTATCAGTAATTGTTGATCTTGTTGTCTGTGGGGAATACTGTCTTCGTCGTATATGAAGACACTTCGGCATTGAGTTATTTAAGTGCAACTTGTCAAAATCATATCTCAGTACAGTATCTATAAGTTCTTCTGCCCTGTATGAATATATGTGCACAATAGATTATCATGGAAGGAAGAATATAACTTTTCTTATGTAGGTTCTTTGCGTGGAAAAGCATATACTTGTAAAACTGTGAATTTGATGTATGCTAAAATTTTGAACTCCGTACTGTTCTTGTTTCAGGGTCAATTGGTCCCTGAACCTAAAACATTTCCATCGGGAATTAAAGCTCTTGCTGATTATATACATGGAAAAGGACTCAAGCTTGGAATTTATTCCGATGCTGGGTAGGATGAATGAAACTCTTATGTATTTTTATTCGAATATCAAGTGCTATACTCAGTACAATTTCCTGGCTACTCATCACCGATTCTATTTTGTAGGGTTTTTACATGTCAAGTTCGACCAGGATCACTTTATCATGAAAGTGCTGATGCAAAGCTATTTGCTTCTTGGGTCAGTTTCTGTTTCCTCTATTCAATTTTTGTGGAATGTGTATATCTTTGGTTTGGCAGCCAGTCAACAACCTTGGACACTGTTTCCGCATTTTATATTGCTTGTGTAAGTGAAAGACTGAAATTCATGTAGGACAGATTGACCTCCATGCAAATACTGTGCTCATTTCTACTAAATTTAAAAGCCTTATACTTTGATTATCCTCAATGTTAATAGACTTTAATCGATGTTTGCAAAAAAGTGGCGTTGCTTAAATATTTGACAGTGTCACAATGTATAACCTATTCCCCTTATCTCCACTTCTAAATAAACAATGCAATCTAAACTTGGGAGGCATGGGTTTGTTGAGAATTAGTAAGTTGTATTTTCAGGATGTGGATTATTTGAAGTACGACAACTGTTATAACCTGGGGATCCCACCAAAAGAACGGTATTGGCTCTTCTTAATCTCAATTTTAATGGCAAGGGAATTGGATTTAGCTATAAATTGATTTGATGTGGTTTCATACATTCCAGATACCCACCAATGCGTGAGGCCCTAAATGCATCTGGACGCACAATTTTCTATTCGCTTTGTGAATGGTAATCCAGTTTATTGATCTGTGTTATAGTATTTGGATTAGTTAAGTTTATGGAAATCCTGATTCATAAATTCTTTATTTGACAGGGGTGTTGACGACCCTGCTTTGTGGGCTGGAAAGGTTGGAAATAGTTGGCGTTCTACAGATGACATTAATGATACTTGGGCGAGGTTATAACTCTTTACCCATTAACAAGGATAGTAACTTCACAGTGTCGGGGGTTATAGCATAGTTCTACTTGCGCACACTGAAACCATAATTTGTACTAAACCCTCAGAACTGGTTTGTGGTATATGCTTTCACCTTAGAGGACCCTTAAAAGTGCTTCTTAACTTCCAAGTTGATGGTGCTCATATATGCATTTGTCTCAGTAATTGTACAAGAATGTCTCACATTTGTTGTCTATCATTGTTTTTGGCTGTTATTATTTGGCTGCAAGGTCTTGTATACACAATCCTGTAGTCTTACTGTTAAATCGTTAATAAAAGCGTCAGTGGTCATACTGATTAAGTTGGCTGTTCTTCTGTTGTTAAGCATGACAACAATTGCTGATTTGAATGACAAGTGGGCAGCGTATGCCGGACCCGGTGGATGGAATGGTATAACATGAGCTTTTTGAAACAGATTTTTCAAGGCATCAAAGATTTAATTTTCATACTCCATCTTTTTTGGGCAGATCCGGATATGTTGGAAGTTGGCAATGGAGGCATGACTTACAAGGAGTACCGTGCTCATTTTAGCATCTGGGCTTTGATGAAGGTGCTTCAACTTTTGCTCCTTTCTTCCTCGTTTGCATATTGATCCCATAATTCAGATTGAACTTTCATTCATAGTCTTGTAGAGTTGTGTCAAAAAACGAATCTTATATGTGAACGAATTAGTTTAATTGTAGCTTGCACAAGGGGCATCATAAGACATGTTGCATATGAACGGTATTGTCCTTGGCTCGTTTTCATTTACTTTCTAGTTCTTCACATACTGATAACTGGGCGTTCGGATATCCAGGCCCCTCTTTTGATTGGTTGTGATGTAAGAAACATGACTGCAGAAACATTTGAGATTCTAAGCAATGAGGAGGTTATCGCTGTAAACCAAGGTGAGAATTGGTGCTAATTGGTTGAAGGTATCATTTTTCCATATCCGCCTTTTCAACTATGAAGTTTCGAAACTAAGAGAGGAATGATTTTGTTCTTGCAGATCCACTTGGGGTTCAGGGAAGGAAAGTTTATGTTTCTGGAACAGATGGTTGCTATCAGGTTTTCCCCTTTCTTGTGCTGTACAAAGTCGTAATGATTGCTTAGTCGAAAGATGGATGAAATTAGTATGTCGGCGATCAATTTAGTGTCTATGGTACGCTGGCAGAATATATCTCCCTTCGCATATATCTTTTATGAGGCGAGGGAGAAGTTCGTCACATCTTTTGGATTTTTAACATAAGCCTGTTGTATATCAACTGTTTGGTGATGATTATGTTTTCCAGGTTTGGGCAGGTCCTCTATCAGGAGATAGGTTGACCGTTGCTCTCTGGAATCGGTGCTCGAAAGCAGAGACTATAACAGCTACTTGGGAAGTACTTGGACTTGAATCCGGCATCAGTGTCTCAGTGAGAGATTTGTGGCAGGTGAGGAAACTGACCTACACGACTTCTAATTGTATCATTTTCTTTTTCCTTGTATGAACTTATTTGTTTTATGCTTATATGGCATCCAAATATTTTGCAGCACGAAGAGGTAGCGGTAGACGCGGTATCGTCATTTGGTGCTCGGGTCGATGCTCACGACTGCCGCATGTACATTTTTACTCCTCGGACCGCCTCGCGCAGATATGTAGCTTAGCCGTAAAATTGTTCCAAAAAGTCTGTTATCCACCTATTAACGCATCACAACCGTTGTCTGCAAGAGTTCACGGCTGTATTCTTCGGGTTTTGCAGAACTTGGCGACGATCTAAGCGCCATTCTGTAATGTATATTGCTCACGTAGAAGTGTCATATTTCAGTGTGTATATGACTACGTTCTCATTCGGAACCATCAGCTGTTGCAACAATGAGAGGGATTTTATAAACCCTAACTGCGAAAATATATATTGACCCCAAATGGAAAACTCTAACATTCATGCACAAGTTCAAAGAGCGAAATCGGAAACTCAACTGGAAACGCATAAAACAAAATTGATGTCTCAATGCTTTTGTTTTTAAATTGAAATGCAATATTCTAAATTACTCTAATTAACGCCAATAGGATTTGAGATTGGATGCAAAGGGGCAGGCGCATTGGTTGCAAGGGGACGGATGCATTGCGTTGGCCAACCGACCTAATCCACGTATGCCGCCTCGGTGCCTCCGTCAAGCCAAGGGGGGAAAGTCGTTATCATTGTCTAGCTTGAACTTGTTCAAGCAAATCCTGCAGAGTTAAACCATTTTACAAGGGCATATCAGCTGCTATCTTAAATATGGCAAGAAACTCTCAAGGGATGAAAATGGCCTTACGTCGCTCCGTTGACCTGTGACAGTTCTTGTTGCTTCTGCATTCCCATCGCAGGGACCCCAGGTATAAAGTTCTGAGCATATGAAGCACTAGTATTTGCCTGTGGGCTTGCTACAGGTGAAGGCATTTCCGGTAGTGACAGTGAATGCTCAGAATTCCCCAACTTAGACTTCCCGGAAGTGTGAGAGGATTCTTTGGCTGGAGGAGACGCCAATTTGGGCTGAGAAGATTGGTGTACTTCTGACGATGAGGGTAGTTGAGCGCCGGGAAGCTGTGGGAATTCTTCAGGTGAAAAATTAACCAGGGAGCATTTTTACTCGGGCCTGCTTCTGTGGAAACCTCAACTTGGTTTGTCTTTCGAGGTGATTTCATCCTCAGTTCTTTGGCTGGAGGAGACGCCAATTCAGGCTGAGCAGATTGATGTACTTCTGACGATGAGGGTATTTGAGTGCCGGGAAGCTGTGGGAATTCTTCAGGTGAAAAATTGAACCGGGAGCATTTTCACTTGGGCCTGCTTCTGTGGAAACCTCAACTTGGTTCATCTTTCGAGGTGATTTCATCCTCAGTTCTTTGGCCAGAGGAGACGCCAATTCAGGCTGAGCAGATTGATGTACTTCTGACGATGAGGGTATTTGAATGCCGGGAAGCTGTGGGAATTCTTCAGGTGAAAAATTAAACCGGTGAGCATTTTCGCTCGGGCCTGCTTCTGTGGAAACCTCAACTTGGTTTGTCTTTCGAGGTGATTTCATCCTCAGACCGCGATTGCTAGACTCCGGAATCCTTCTCCTCACTCTTGGAGGCACATTTGTGGATCATTTTGATTTTGCAGTGCCTGAAGCATTTGGGATGAGAAAGCCAGTCAGTCAGTCATCTTTCAGAGTCCATAGTTGAAACCAAAGAGGAAGAACAAATCAGCAGTATCGAAAACTTAATTTTGAATAAAGAAGAGTTGAATTCGATATACCAGGTTAGGTATATATGTGCCTGTTCCGTGTGATTTCTTTATCACCCCAACACCAAAAGTAGCAGCAGATTGGTATGCATTTTCTGCCATTTGAAAAATGACATTCCCATATAGTTGAGCCGTATAAACCAGGGAATTCCATTTGCTCATATCATCGTCTACAAAAGGTGGAGCACCGTTGTGTGTATTAAAAAACTGATACGCATTTGCAAACAACAGGCTATCACAATGTTTGTCGTAGTCCCCAGTAAGGTCAGATTCTTCAGATGTTCCAGTACCAAATGCAGGGACAGGAGTTGTCACATCTGCCCTTTCTCCACGCCCATTCCTATCTAGAGTGGTCACAAAGAAGTTCTCAAGTGCCATGCCTATGCGTTCACCCGGTAACATTAATACCTCTCTAAGTGTTTGAGCCCCAAGGGAAAAAGCAGATCTTATACGATAGAAGTTTCCTGGAGAAGATAGGTAGTTCAGCATTCAGCTAATTGGAATACAGAACCGGTAAGAACAAGATATACGCTAGAATGGAAAGTATGCAATTTGAATAAGAGATTCTTAATAAAGCGCAATCTATATGAATTAAAGATTATTGAAAAGATACCAAATTTATGCGTTTATAAAACATATCTTGTTAAGAAAACATCTTAAATACAAGATTGTCATGTTAATTATGATGGAGGGATGTTACAGTATATGGCAAATATAGTCATCTCAAAAAGAGTGAACAAAAAACTGATCTAGCAGTTAAAGTGGTTGAGTACCTTTGCTAACACTACGGCCTAGATTGTTGTTGTCCTTTAGAGGATCCACTATGTTGAGGAACTTAATTTGGAATTCATCAACACTATCTGCCTCTGCCGCTGCTGGATCTGGAAACGCCAGCCTGCACTCTCTTACAAACTCCTCACTCAGGAGAAATTCTTCCTCCTCGTTTTGGGGTGTCACTGTAGCAAATAATACAGTTAAAAGATTCTAGTCAAGTGAGTAAACAGATCAGTTACACATTCACATATGTGAGCATAAATTACCTATGATTTCAGGAAGGAAAGATAAGGCAACTGGACCATTTATACTGATAGCATAATTTTCCCAATCAAATGTGCTATAGTATTCCAAAAATATAAGCAGGACCTATTCACACAATTTCAAAGTCGTATTTGAGCACTTGCACATGCAAATGTGACTGCTGAACTGAAGAAACAAAACAAAAGAAATACCTCTAAAGGACCACGGAGCGATGAATGAAAGCGATTGATGATAAACAACACCAACGTTTCCAGTCCATATGTTGCAATCAGGCCATAATGGGCCCCAAGAATTCGACTCTCATAGTAGCACCAAGCTTTGATTAAGATAATACTCTTTTTGAAAAGATGGTCTTTTCCGATCAGTCGGTCAACCTGCTTAAGAGGAAAGTTACAAGCATTAGAATTTTGAAATGAGCGAGTGTGTGTGTGTGTGCTTATGTGTTAATAAGTTTTGTTGATATTAAGTATTGCTGAGTGTAGATTTAAAGGTTTCGTTGGTTTACAACTACAAAATCTTAAGCTGGAAGGATTCGAACTCAAGATCTTTGACTAATGTTAAATTGTTTGTTGGTTGGTTTACCACTGTCCCAAAAAGATTAAGATGTTTGAATGAGGAAGAATAATTATTATGTGAATGACGGCTCGAAACAACAAAAATAAAAAAAATAAAAAATCAGATGGAGCTGACTACATTTACTGAACCATCAAAACATTTTCTATTTATGTGAACGAAGAGCTAAGCAAAGATGGCAACAAAAAATGGTATAAACCAACTTCAGACCTGCCAACAGATCAGAATAGAAAGTTGAAGTGAAGCATGTAACATATACAGAAGAAATTCAATTGTAATTAAGTGCAAAAATTACAAGTGCAGCTAAGTTTATATTCGCAATTATTGGTACTGAAATTAACAAAGCTTTCAACAAAGAATTCAAGCCAGCTGAAGGAAAGCTTTTATGAGTGCTGGTTACTACTCTTAGCTACTTTTCGTTAAACAGGAAAAACTATAGCTCCATATTATGTAAGGGTTAAGACTTTAACCTGCTCCAGAAAGCACAGTGTGCTGAGACCTGCCGTCTGGTTGAAGGAGATGTCGATTGCCACATCATTCACAATGCATTTTACAACCTTAACCTACCACCCAAAATTCCAACAAGAACAATATGAAAAAAGTACAGTGGATCCCCCCTTTTAAAGTTAAGAAACGATAATACTTCCTTTTGCAACATGATCAATTTATTAAAAAAAAAAAAAAAAAAAAGCAACTGAGGCAGTGAAAATGCTTCCCTTAAATTACGAAAAAAGCATTAAAATAATTTGTCTACCAAACCAATAAAAATTTCACACAAAACAGCAGCCACCGAAAACAAAATTTCAGATAAAAAATAAATTCAAACTGTTTAGGATTAGCAATAGTTTGAGGACAGAAGAAATAAGTCCAAGAGAAGGTGACATTGAGCAAAATCGGAAAGTAGGATAGAGGATATCAAGGAGGAGAAGAGGAACAAGAGGTGGAGCAATGGACTTTTGATCTCAATTCTTAGGTCTGAATCTTGAGGTTGCAATGTATACCATCTTTGCCGATTTCTGGTTTTCCTTGTGCACATCCCCTGATCATCCCCCATCTTTCTATTTGAGTGATCTATTTTCCTGGAATGTACTAAATCAACCGGTTCACACAATTTTCTTATAAATGGAAAATAATTATATCACAATTAGCATGCACAGGTCCATACATTTCCAAACTTATTCACCCTTTCCATATCAGAACTGAAGCATTAATGGTTCAGGTTCCTCCGCACGAAATTGACTTATTGTTGAAGTTCTCACAACCTAATAAGAATTTCAACATGGAGATTACATCATGATCTGGAAATGACACGCAATCTCTAACATATAATACCGTCGTACGCAGTCAAGTGGGTTTACATGTAACTATGAAAACGACCTTAGTTAAAAATGGATAAATTTTTTGAGTCATCAGGAAGGACTATCAGACAGTGGGAGCAGACCAATCATGAGAACAAGGCACAAGTCCGTATACTCTGAAAATAAACTAATAAGCTGTCTTTTAAGTGCCAAACAGGTGTTAGACATGCACACGTATGAGTGCTTTTACAGGTGTAGCCTTGGTTGATGCGGCACCAGGGTGTGAGGATTGATTGAGTAGATATTTCTTCATTTTATCGAGCACTTTTGGCAATCACTACTTGTCAAGGTGGAGAAAAGTCCTACATAACAAAGGCCAAGAGTCTCTCTGAGAGTACCGAGAGCAATCGGGGTCTAGGGTACTAATGTTGGTCTAATTTCAAGATTAGGGGATAGAATGATGCCCTCATGCTTAGCACTATAATGGGAAGAAAAGAAAGAACTGACAAACTAATAGCTTTTGGATATTTTCATTTGAGAAAGTAAAAGGGTAACTAGTCCTTAACGTGAATGACTGAAATAACAGACAAACAAGAATGAGGGAGGAAAATACTAAAAAGGATACATGTAATATGTAAACAAAAATATAGTAACCATTCAGATCAACTATTGGAAAGGGTAAAAGGATCTAAGAAATCTCAACCTGTGCGCGAATGTAGCAGACATCTTTAATTTGGAACTTGGAGTCCTGTGGTTGGTGATCCTCGAGGATCGCACAGATTTTTAGAGCAAGCATATCTACCAAGTTTGGAAGGCAGAGAGCAGTCAAATCAATATCTCCATCAGGAAGATAGGCCTTCAATGGGACTGAGCCAAAGGAGAAGACCTGTAACGCAAGCTGCTCGACAAGCTCACATAAATTTAGGGATATTAAAATTGCAGCATATAATAATTGTAATGAATCAATCATAGACTCCCCCCAGCAGAGTTTTCTTATTGCAAATAGCAGTTAGAAGTTACAAATAGGAATGCCTTATCTCTCAATTATATTAATTTTAGGTACACAAAATGAAACACGTGGAATTCAAATGAGTGACAAACAGATTCCAATATGAATGGCCACGTACATTATATATTGATCAAAAAAGAAAGCAGAGGAAAACCCTTCCATGCCAAACCCTAAAAGCACATCCAGCACAAACAATTAACGTACTGGATGCCTAATGTTACGGAAGCTGCATAAATAAGTTCTCTGAAGATAGGTCAGATATTCACAGAACTAGGACCCAAGAAGACAACTTGTAATAAAACAGAAACAGAAAACCATCCAAGATGACGTTGAAAGTGGGACATAAAAAGCTCTATGATGGTAGGTCATGTGGCAGTGTCATCGGAAGACAACAGCAAAATCTAAGGAATGACTCTGTACTCTTATTGTAACAGATAAGAAATACCAATTTCTTCATCCAGACATGCTACAATGTCAAATAGTTACTTCATGTTGATGCTTAGATCTTTAGTTGGCTTCGTTTGGCTGTAACGACAAACCACACTTCCGTACGTGTAGCGCAGCACTTTCCACGCAAATTGGAAATCAAATAAATTATCTAGGTATGCTGACTACACTTACATAACCCAACTGATAAAGGTAACAATGGGAATGTTTCGAAATGCTAGGGAGAGTACACGCAAATAAATCCACGCCCTTTTACAGATTTTAATTTTACAAACATTCTTCCATCTTAAAACATTGAGAATTACCAATTTAGACAACATACAGAGGTAATCAAAGTAAACTGAATTATGAAGCACAGACTTATAGCAATGTGATGAAGTACAATTTTAATTCCATACGAACAGACTTCAAAGAAGTATGGATTGCAGTTATAAAAAATAAAATAAATAAAATAAACGAAATAAAATAAAAAATCTACCATTGTTGATCCCTCCTCACACCAAGAAGCAAAAATAGAGAGAAGAAAAATAGGGATCTGGGGAACTTCTCACCTCAGTTGCAAGACGACCTACAAGAAGCCTCTGAACATAATCAGCAAACATCTTCCGTCTCAACTCAGATTCAACATTTGGTTGAATAGTCCACAAAATCTCCTGGGTCCTTTCTTCCAGTAAGGACCATACCTCTGCATCCATCGACCTCGACAAGGTCTTAGGAGAGGAGGAAGAAGATTGAAAATAGGGGGAATATGATAACCTTACTTGACAATCTTCCATAAATATAAGGCTAAATATAAAAGTTGAGAATTTCAACTCTTCAAAAGGTGAGACTTTCAACTCTTCAAAAATGTAACCCAGGAAACCCACACAAACACTTCCCCAGTGATGATTTCAACAAGTGAATGTCTACATGATTTTAGAAACCTGCAAAACTAAGAATTTTAAAGTAAAAAAAAAAAAAAGAAAAAAAAAGGAAAAATTGGTGGAGGGAGGGTTAGGAATGAGATGGGTTCGTAAACAAAATCCAGAGAATAGAGAGAGAAGGATAGACCAGGGCACCTTGAGCAGATGAGTGGCAATGGAAATAGCGCACAGATCAGTAGAGCTTATCCAGGATGTGTATTCAGCAGAAGGAGAGAAAAAACAGCTAATTAGATGCTTGAAACTTTATGCAGAGTTTGTCCATATCTGTTACACCCTTGGACTCTGTATTTAAAGTCCTTGTAAATGCTGAAGATTATGTATTTTGGGGATATTTTGACATGTGTGCTATGAGGATAGGAGAAAAGAAATCTTCAAATAACTGATTAAAAACAGAAAAGATTCCGAAGTCCTTTAGGGAAATTATCTGAAGAAACTCTACAAGCATGAAAAGATTTAAAAGAAAAGGACAGAACTCAGAAGTGATATAAACAGTCAAAGAATGGAAAACACTCCTTTATGAGGAAGCTCCAAGCTCCAAGGCCAACTTAGAAGCAAAAGAGCAGACGAGAAGCAAAATGATGAAAGGCAAAGAACTCTTGCCGCCAAGGGACTCAAATACAATCCAATGGAACGGTCTTAATCAAGGATTACTACCATATAAAAGTTTAGTCTCACTTTTCTCAAATTTTCAGTTTTTCTGAAGACTGGATTCTTCGCCATTAATGAGGTAACAAACAAAGATAACTGTAATTGGGTTAAGAATGTAAATTTCTGTGGCTTGCATATATGGTACTCAGCTGTCTCACTGTTACCTCTCCAAGTTTTCTACTTAAATCCCCAAGTGCATGACCCTCATTAATATCAAATCCTATTTTTCTCCTTCCTGAGTAAAATATTAATTGCACTGGATGCAAAGAGATTTAGAATTTGTTGTCATACCAAATACTTGTCTTCCTACCAAAAATGTCAGTTTAACCTAGGGGCACTCATTAGGCCCACAATCGCCTATGCTACATTGACCACACCCAGTTGCTCCAGCTGAAGTGTGTGCAGGCATCTCTACATTTCTCCTTTAATTTGGGCTCATGACCAGAAAAAATTAGTGAACGTCTCCCCACCCCACCAACGGGCCCTACAACAAAGTTGGTGAGCCTTCCACATTGTATTGATCCCGCTGCAACGTATCTAAATTAACCCATGACTAGGCAAGTCAAGTTGGCCTAAAAATCATCTTAGATCAACTTCAGAGAGCACATGGTGTGAGAAAACAATACAGGTGTGTCAGTTATGTATGAAAAACTACGATTGTTGGACATGTACCTGCCAAAAGAAGATGAACAAATAAACTTTCTAGACACCCTAATGTACTACAAAACTGTAAAGCACAACTAGGGTAGTGATATCCAACAAAATAAATTCCTTGTTGGCTGGTGAGCTCTCTAACGTACTTAACAATCATGTCTTAGCCGTAAAGAACAGAAACAGCTCAATTTGGACTTCAGTTGTCTTTTCAAACATCCTTTGACCCAAGCTAAAAAAATTGCACTGAAAATGATTAAAGGCTCCGAAAGGACTTAAAATCACCTGGATATTATGCTTTTAGACAACTCATGCCAGGATCACTCCCATTTTCTCTTATTTACTGATAAGTTGGTTTTCAGAGTCGTTGGGATGGAATAGATTTTCTTATAATTTTTGTCTTTTCATAGGTTACGAAACAATAAATCATTTCCAAAATCAGGTGTGACTTAAGGCTAATAGAGAATTCCTCTTATCATATAGATCTCTCCTGTAACGTATCCATGAAGCTTAACCAGGTCCTATGGTCTAACGTTTGCCAATAAATCTCTAATCTATAGGCCACTCCCCCTCTTGCACTTCATGGTTTCCAGACTTAAAAGGTGGCCTTTACATTATAGGTTAATATGCAGAGTGAGAGTTAATACTTCATGTGCCTCACACCCACGTGGCATTCCGCCAACATGTTTCCATTTTCAGCTGACTATTATTTAGGAATAATATGCAATGATGCTAAATTGAGAGTGAAAAACTTAATACACTAGGTCTCCCATTAGGTCAGTGATTAAAAAACCAAACTTTTGAGATTTAGATTTAAGATTTTGAACTTAGGATTTAACTGAAGCTTAAGCTTAGCCACTTCCTTTTGTTGTCCCCTCTCATTTCTATTTCTCGTTCTCTTTTGTCGGTTCTCCATCATAAACTTTTATCTTGGAAAGAAAAAACCACATTCAAAATCCAATTTAAGGGTTCGGTGTAATTCTCTCAAATTAGCAACATGTCCGTGATTTCCCTATTTGGGAAGACGAGAAACATTACGATGTTTCGAGTAACAACTAAACTGGGAAAGCCGCCTACCGAAAAACAAAGGAAACCAACACAACTAAACCATCATTAACTTGCTTATTGCAAACAGTCACCAGCTAGAAGCACTTTTCCAAACAGAACAGTCGCAATATTTCGAAGAAACAATCTAATCTTTCACAATATTAAAAAACTACAAGTGAAATTCTCCAAAACCCAACTGAATATTTCAACAAACAACCGAATGGGGAAAGCATTCACTGCGAACGAAAACAGCATTAAAGTTCGGAGCTTTTTACCTTTCATGGCGGTTTATTCCTTCTCCTACGCTTCATCTTCCTCTTTTGTCCAAAGCCCACTTCTCCGTGGGACCCACCCAACTCAAGCAAGCTTACCCACACCATCTTCTTCGCTGGTCAAAACCCTTATTTGCAGACCCCAAAAGCAAAAACTCAGCAAAGAGAAGAAAATGCTCGCAAGAGTGAAGGTGCTCCTCCAATGGCAGTATAATTTCAACGGTGCGGTGGGGCCCACTAACCCAATCACACGGGACTCACCAGCTGACGTGGCACAACCCTAAGATCAACCATCGAATCTGAGCCGTCGATTGTAACAGGTGTGCAGTGAATAAACCCACATTATTAAAACCCGCCAAAATTAGAGCCAAATCCAACCCGACGACTTCCGCCACGAAAGTGCCACCGGCCGCGACCTCGGCGTGCTCGCTGCCGCGCTGTACAAGAAGTCCAAGGGCAAATTGCGAGTTCTCAATGCACTGTGCGGCTGCGGCATTCGGTCCGTCCCGTACCTCGTCGAGGCGGAGGCCGATTTTGTTTTGGCAAATGACGCGAATGATGAGAACAGGAAAGTTATCACGGAGAATTTGTCGCAGGTGGAGAGTGGTTCCGGGGACGAAGCAAGACGGGCGGTGTCGCTTACGGATGCAAATCGGATCATGACGGAGTGTTATCTGAATAGGGATTTCTTTGATTTGATTGATATTGATTCGTTTTGGAGTGATTCGTCGTTTTTGAGGTCGGTGTTTAATGCTTTGAAATTGAATGTTTGCTGTATGTTACTTCGACTGATGGGTTCTCGTCCGGCGGTCACCGGCCTCAACAGTGAGTGTCAAATCTGATATCAAGCAAAATGGTTGTTTCAATTCTCTATGATTCCTTTAAAGTTTGATGCTTTATACAGTAATTTGTTCATTTCTTACCAATTGATATTGCAACACTACTTGCATTTCACATTGATGGGTTCGAATTTGATATCGTAATCAAATGTAGTTCTCCAGTTGAATGAAAAGTTTAAAACTTTACGCATTGAAGGATTTATTAGTTTGTTGCAGACAATTCTGATATGTTTTGCTCTTGTTTACAGAACTTTAGCTGCATATGCAGCTTATGTTGAGCCGATGCCATACTCGAATGAGCTCGGTTTACGAATGCTTATCGGAGGAGCCGTACGGGAAGCTTCTGTGCTGGGATATCGAGTGACTCCATTGTTTACATACTATTCATATCATGGACCTATTTTCAGAGTAATGCTCCAAGTCAATCGTGGAAAGCTTCTGGATAACAAGTAAAGGGGTTGTATGATTTTGTATGTTCCTGAAAGCTGTGTGATTTTGTAGGCCTCTTGTGTTGGTGCTGATCAATTGTTGTACATTGTCCGACAGATATTATGGTTTCATCAGTTACTGCAATAGCTGTAGAAGTTCTAAAGAGTACTCATGGGCTGAACTTGGTCGTATCAGTTGCCCCTGCAGTGACTCAAAGGTATTAGGAGATGTTTGGTCGTATGATTTCATTTTTCTTGACTTCCCAAGTTTTTGTTCTTTCTTTTCACTAAGAAAGATTAATCTTGAACCCTTGTTTTGGTCTGAAATATGATTCAATTGTAGCTTTAGTTTTTGAACTACGGTAACAAAAAGGATTCTGGCCAAAATTAAGCATGTGAATCCCTTTTAAGGAGTAAGTTGAGGAATAGGGCGTGTGCCTCTTTACATACATGTCTGTCACGTGCTTAAGTTTGGAGGAAATAATTCATGGACTGGCGTCAAGAACTAATACTTCACATTTTATCAAATTTCGATACCAATTTCAATTATTTTTTTTTGTTTAACGACTAAGTTATAATTCGGTCATAGATTAAGGATCAATGTTCCAAATTTACTCTAAATCTTAAACGAAGGCTTGTTTCAGTGTTTTCTTGGTTTCCAAGGCACTAGTTGTTTCTGGCCCTCTCTGGACAGGGCCCTTGCATGACACTGCTTACATTACAGAAATGTTAAGTTTGGCGGATTAGTGGGGATGGGCAGGCAGTGAAACAGGAACTGATTTGGACAAACTTTTGAACCAAATGGTGGCAGAGAGTGACCCAAAATTACCCTTTGGCTACATTAAGTTGGACGAGGTTCTCCCTCAGTCAAAAACTTTTTACCACTCTTATTTTGTTCCAAGAAGTTATTAATCTGGTGAAAAATTATGGGTTTTCTGTTTTTACTGTACCAGGTGGCAAGCCTGTGCAAAAGTAAATTCTCCGTCGCTGAGAGCCGTGGTGTTCGCCCCTCAAGAGTAATTTTAACTACTCACCTTGGCATATGAGTGCATGTTTTCCACTTGGAGTTTTAGGAGCTGTTGAGTATCAGTGCATGATGGACACTTGTTAGGTATGGCTTTGCATGTTTGCCAATTGCAGGAGAGAAACTTGAGTAAGACTGTCTGGTCAGTTACAAATGCATGTTGGACACTTATTAAGTTTGATTTGTAGTGCATGGTGGGTGGACACTTGGTGGTTATGGTTTTGCATGTTTGCCAATTGGACGGAGAGAAACTTGAGTAAGACAGCCTAGCCTAGTCAGTTACAAATGCATGTTGGACACTTGTTGGGTATGATTTTGCATGTTTGGCACTTGGAAAGAGAAAAACTTAGATAGGGCAGTTATAAGTGCAAGTGCACGCTCGACACTTGTTGGGTATTAGTTACATGTTTGACAGCATCCATGAAGGGCGAGATCGTGTGCATCAAGAGTTGTGTAAATATTTAGAGTCGAATAAAAACATTTTGTCCCAGAATTATGCGAGGCCCAATTGAGCAAAGTTTCAATGGCATTGAGTTTAGCAGGCTGTTGGTGTGAGTTGTTATTGGACTGCAGGGAAGGCTCCTGAGCAAAGTTTCAAGTCCTGACGTTTTTTTTTGTTCGACCCGAGAGACTAATATCTCTTACGCTGGGTTTCCTGCAGGAGGGATATGCTGTGAGTCGGTCACATTGAATCCAATGCAATCAAGACGAATTGTCCAATGGAAGACTGCGTTAGAATTGCCAAGCAACTTCATCAGCGCTGAATGAGAAGACGAGTTTCCAGACGCATTGCACTTCCACTAGGGTCTAATTTTGTTGTGTGCGAGCAACTATGCGCGAGGTGGTGTTGCTCAACGAGAGAAGAAAGTTTTAAACTACGCGCGAGCAACTACCAGTGTAATATATTAAGAGTCTGAAAGCTTTAAACTTCGTTTCTCTGAGCATGAAACAAATGGTTTCGACACTTTTCAGTAGTCGATAACTCATGACAACATTGCAAGGTTCCAATAGAGCAATGGTCTAACAAACACTGATCGTAAATGAACAAATTGTTACATGTGAGAATCGGTTTGTTGGGGAGAACGACCACTCCAAAGTCACATCCATGTAGTCGAAAACTTGTAAGCAACGATTTTGCATTACCGTATAAACCTGCGATTGTAGAACTGACCATAAACAAAAATGGTATATAACCTTACTTAAGACGCGCAACGGGATTCAAAATTGGACATTACGTCATCCAGATTTCATTATCATAAAAAAAAAAACATCCATAAACGTTGTAGTTTAATCCTCAAAACGTCTGAACAATAACGCGAGAATAACAAAAAAGTCCTACACAACTCAGTCCAGAAGATTGTGTAGCTACCGGGAAACATCCATCACAAAATGGAAGGATTGATTTGCTCAAATCAAGTACGAGCAGGAACACCAGCTCCAGCAGGTCGGGGAGCTTGACCAGGCTGGCCGGGCCTTGGGGCATCATCCTGAAAATCCAAATATAAGAATATCAGGTAAACTAGAATAACGTATCAATACTGTAAGCATCGGCCATTAGCCTACATAGACATTGAGCTAACATGTACATGCCAAGCGCGAACCAAAAGCATGCAAGGAACTTGAAATGTCCTGGCAACACACAATATGAAATAGGCAGCCACATAAAACAAATATATGACAAAACCCATGCTGCTAAGAAAGCCTTAAAAATCGGTTGCGGAAAAGCATATTGAAGTATGCTAACACTACAGCCATGAACATACAGTTCCGAACCAGCCAACCGAGATAGAAGGGTTCCAAAAAAGCTCGAGGCGATAAACCTAAATTCTACATGATTAAATTATTTCTAGTAACACCACAAATCTAACAGGGGTTAAAGTTCTAGCCTTAACAAAACTAAAATAATTTCCAATCATTCGTTACATCTTCATCAATGAATGAAGAAGCAAACAAACAATCAATTAGCAAACTTTTGTCGGGTCCTATTTCCATGTAGGAAAAGGAGCGGCTTGAAGCGCGTTTCATGGGTTATTTGGGATGTTTATGTGTGAAATTGGTTTTGGGAATAACTGAACAAGACGCAGTACAAGCAATGAATCAATAAGCAGTGTCACATAGAATAACAAACATCCAAAATCTAGAAATCGAAAATGAGAACTCACCCTGCGTCTGATGAATCGCTGTGGCGGCTCGCGGTTCCTCCTGTTGGTGCGGGATCGCACCCTCACAACGTGAGAGTGAATTGCACAGGAAACACAGTACTGCATCTTGGCATACAGCTTAGGCAGAGTGTATTCTACACACCACAAACAACATCAAATCCAAACATTTACACGTCTAACCAATCACCGCGATACTCGAACAAAACAAAAACCAATAAATCAACACCAAACTAAGAAAAAACAGAGAAATGCGAGGGTAAATTGGGACTTACGCTCATAGACGCAGGCTTCCTGAACATCTCTCACCGCGGCCTGCTCGACGATGTTCCTCACCAAGAATCTCTTGATGGCCTTGTCCTAGTTCATCGCCAATGCAAAATTAAACGCAATCAATCACGTATTCATACGATTCGAATACGTATAGATATACAGACACGTATAAATGTACACATTTGTGTGTGTATGCATACCTTAGGGCAGCACTTGCCGCAGTTGGAGCAGCGGATGAACTTGACGTGTCCACGGCCGTGCTTGTTGCGACCTCCATTTCTGCGCTTGAAAGTCTGCAGAGAAAAAAAAAAAAAATTAAGCGAAAGGAAACGGTGGACGGCGAGATGGATAAAACGCGGCGTTTAGGGCGGAGATCTGACCATGGTGTGAGGAGATCTGAAAGCTCAGCGGCCGTCGGCAATGGAGTATGTAGGGTTTTACTCGCTGCTGCAGACGCCAGAAGGTGAGTGGCGTCGGGAAGGCTTCTGTTTTATATGGAGCGCGCCCTGGCGCCCTAGCCCAACAAACTGCCCCTTCGTTTATTGCACGTTTGTAATCGCGCCCCCAATTTTTTGTTTATTTACGTTTTGATCCCTATAACCTCTAATTAGAAACAGGATTTAATATTAAGTTGGGAAGAAGACAAAAAAGAACTTACGAAAATCTGAGCTGTTATCATCCAATGGATCGGACAAGAATATTACGATATAATAATATTCTTAATCACTTGAAACTTGGAAGTGAAAAGTTCCGAGTTTTATGTACTTGGATGTCAATATCTTTGGTTGAGATGAGTTGAAATTTGAAGCTCTTTATTTTTGGTTATTTTCCTATAATTTTAATATAACTTTAGGTTTTACGCCCGTTTTCTTCTTATGCACTCTTCCTCTTGCGCGTGGCAAGAAAAAGAAAGTACGGAAATCACTTTCCGTTCATTATAAACCAACTGGAAACCCCTCAATCATAACAAGAAGCAAATTTCGGCCAGAAAATATAGACAAAAGCTCCAACGACATAGCTTATTGTATCAAACCACCAAATACTTAAACTTCAAAAAACAGAGATTAAACAAGTACGCAAGTCCATACGCTAATCTGGTTTTCATACATCCGTGATTAAATAAGCGTCCTCATTTGTCACGTTGGTCGTTTTATTTTTCATCTACTCAACCAGATGCAAATGCGGCCACCTTGTTCGGCTCAAGTGCTTTCTTTCTCGTACACTTCACTGGCATACTTCCAGTTGATGACTTTCCATATGTTCTTCAGATACTCTGGTCTCACATTCTTGTACTGCAACATGAATAACAGATGCATCTTAATTCATAATTTCATATCAAATGATACGCGAAGAGGATAGCAAGAATGTAATAATACAGACAGCTAACAGGAGCAAATACATCTGACATGTATTCTGGAAAAATTCATCGTTGGACATGGTAAAAAGTGATGACGGTTTTAAATTGAATAAATGATACGCTTGTTTGAGGTCTCCGTGGCACTTCAGATGCTAATTCAAGTGCTGACAGAAAAGGATGGAGGCTGTGTACAGAGACCAGACATTATAGGAAAACAAGAACGGTGTCACTTCCTTTGTGTCTGAAAGAGAACCTAACTATAAACTTCACCACACGGAAAGGTCTATCCCCCATAAACAATTCAACTCCAAGGAGCAAAAACTGACTTGTCCGTTCACAAAGACAGTTTTAACAACCCTCCTACCGAATCCACTTGTACTCCTGAAGATAAACAGTATCTTAGACTTCCAAGGATCACCAATTGGGCAATTAAGAGAGTGTATCAATCTGTATTGACTCTTATATACTACACTTACAAACTGATAAGTGAAAATAATTGAAGGATATACATGTTATGAAAATATAGATGATGCAAATCGACTTTGCTTAAATTTACCTGTAAGTAGTATGCATGCTCCCAAACGTCAATACCAAGCAATGGAACCAAAGATGCTCCTTTAGTAACCAATGGGTCCTGTAACAAGTTACTCAAATTAAAGAATATTCAGATGAAACAAAAACCATAATTGCATGCTGCATATCAGTTAACTACTACCGAGTTATTTGGACAAAGAGATGCAGAACAGAAACCTTTGTAAATCCTATCGCTACAAGTAATGTTAAGTATTGAAGTAATATTTTGGGGTTTACCTGATTTGCAGTGGTTTCAACGACAAGTTTCTTCAACTCTTTGTCTAGAGCAAGCCACTACCAAGAAAGATCAAACATGCATGTGAACAGGTTGAAAATCGATTGAAGCATCTAGTTTAATGACATGGAACAAATACAGTAAAATCAACAAGATGCAAAACTTACCACCCATCCAGAACCCTGCAACGCAGCGCCTTCTGTGTTGATCTTTTGCACCAATGCATCAAAAGAACCAAAACTCATGTCAATGGCCCATCCCAGGTTGCTATGAGGGGACTCACCTCCACCTTGCTGCCATAGATAAAGCATTACAGTATTAGACGGACGAATGCTTAAAAACAGGCTTGTAAGATAGAGGAATATAAAATTATGAACTTACACTAATCGGAGTCAGATTCTTCCAGAAAATCGAGTGGTTGACATGACCTGCGAGAAAAAGGAAATTCCTTTTTGTTAAGATTAGATTATCTTCCGGGCTGCAGGATGAATGCAAATAAGCTAAATCCTGAGATGAACAAGACATCCAAGAACTTGAAACCAAACAATTAAATCAGCACTTTCGATCACGGTAATTAGTATCAGTAGCAGCCTAATTATGGGAAAACTAACACAATGCTACCTAATTTAATTGCTACTTCTAATATCAATTTACTTCAACAAACAATTATAATTCAACAAAATATTTGAACATTTTAATTAATTTAAGTTTTTTTCTTAACAAATTTAGAAAAAGGTTCCTAATCTGAAGATGAAACAAATAAATAATTACAAAAAAAAAATAGCACAGAGATACAGAGAGAGATGTTTGACCTCCGCCATTGAACTTGATGGCGCTCTGCAACTTAACAACGGCAGTAGCGTCGCCCTTGCCGATGGCGTCGTGGAGCTGCTCGAGAGCTTTGTTGTAGTTGGTGACGTAAGCCTGGTGGTGCTTTTTGTGGTGGAGCTCCATGATCTCGCCGCTGATCGCAGGCTCCAGAGCGCCATAGTCGTAGGGAAGGTCGGGGAGCGAGAAGGTCTGCAGGCCGCGAGAATGGGCAAGGATTCTGGGCTTGCTCTGGAACCCTGATCGGAGGGCTTTCCTGGCCACGAGAGCTCGGAGAGCCATGGAAATGCTGCTTGCAATGAACTGAGAGGAGAGAGAGTGAGAGAGAAGGTGAGAGAAATGTGACGAGCGAGAGTGAGACTTGTGGAGTAGGTAGGTGCAAATCTGTGGTATGGGCCAAATATCTTGGGCCTATTTGAGATCCATCATCAAATGAAACGGATTGGGCTTCTCATTATTTTGTGGGCTTAATCCAACAACTCCTGCCTTAAGTTTTTAATTTTTATTTTTAATGGAGGCGATATCGGGGTTGTGGAATGATTGAATTTGTACATCAGAATCAATGTTCGTAACTAGCTAATCTACAAATTATTTACTTTGGCGCCCTTTATGTTTAATTCAAAGATGAATTTCTTTTGCATTCAAACCCTATCTCATTAGTAACACAACTAAGTAGTTTTAGGTTCGACTGTTGGTCTCAAAATCGATCTCGGCTACTAAGTCAAGGATTTTGGGATCTCTTGGTTCTTTTAGCTTGTGTTGCGGGCATACCAACTTGTGGCCTAAGGTCGAGCAAGTAAAGAGAAGTTGGTGATTTTGGTTGCGCTTGATTTGACTTCTTTTAATGTGATTGAAGACCAAGGAACGAACGTGTCTCAGTTGAGGGTTCCCGATGCCACGAGTGCCAGGAAATTAGAATGGCATTGTTTGTGAAAGTGCAGCGGAATCGATTTAGGGGTTAATGCGATGAGATGTATGGGAAGGTGAATCGCATCAACGCAAACGAACTGATACTCCTATTGCAAGAAAATAAAATGCGAGAGAGTAAATTGCAAGAAAATAGATTTGCGAACAGCGTGGAGTGTATTGTTGGAAGACCTAATCGTCTAAAAATTCCTTAAAAACACAAATGCGTACAAAATTGAACCATTTTCTCTTGGCACCTTAGGATTAGTAACAATATTCCATTATATTATATGCATCCCTCACTTGAACTAATTTTCGATGTATCAACTTAATGTAATTCGTAATCAACACGAACACGAACACGAACACTGAACGAAGAAAGGGCGGGACCGACACCCGTTCGAACCGGAGACAGAAGGGTGAAGAATTTTTACACCAATAATATTGTCATTGCTCTCTAACAGCTCTATATGCTGCTATTAGTTCTATCACGTGTGCAAATGGACGACTGAGTGGTTGCCATCACGCATGCAAATCTTTGTTCGACTTCCATACAGGACCAATTTGGGGAGCGGAATCAGTTCCTACCCCGCTTCCAGTTTCCACGGCCACTAGAGGATCCGACTCACCTTCCCCTGCCTGAAACCATTTCAAACGAAAAGAGAGGATTTCACACATAACTTCGTTGTTCAATGATTAAAAAGAATGATTCAATATCTAGAAAGTACGTCCTGCAATTACAGAGATTAAGGAAACTGGGTTAAAACCTGTGCTGGCTGCGTTGCTTCTTCAGCAACCTTTTTCTGACCCTCACGAGTGCAAAAGTATGAATATAAAACCATCCCAGCAAGTGCGACGAAAATTCCGAGGATGTTCCTCCAGTCAAATGGATCATGAAGCAAAATATAACCAAATGCGAGCACAAGGCATGTCTTTAGATGTCCAAGAACTTGATAGGTGACAGGAGATGTCTTTCCAATTACAAGAAATGTGCTAAAATTTACCGAGACAGAGATCAGGCAGGACATAATTATGAAAACCTGCAAAATCAGAGAGAGAAAACACAATCAGTAATTCTTCGAAAGAAAAGCGGGAAAAAGACAAACTGTTCAAATTCTCACCAGCACTTGATTTGTATACTTGAAAGCAAATACATTTTGATTTGTCAAGAACCAATCCAGAAACGGGCCAGTGATTAATAAAGTTCCTGCCTGATATGGACATGATTGATACAGGAGTTGCGTTGAAGAAACCTTAAACTTCTTCTGGATGGTATTGGTCATCTGAAAGAAACTAGTCAAGGAAACAAAATCAGACAGGTGAAACTACAATATAGCCTCCTACTAAGACCTCTCAAAAAGACCTTAACAAGGGTGTTCCCGTCAGCTCCTTATAATGGAAAGTATTCAGCAATATGAACTGCAAGACCTGAAAAGCTTCTATCGCGTACGTTAAATATGTTTTACTAGACGGAAACAACATATACGGGAAGTACTTGTGAATTCTTTTACTGATAAGGAACATACATGCAACTTTTTGCCTAATGCAGTCAAATTCAGAAGTGGTTCAGAGACCATGCATCGATGACATTAGACAATATTATTCAAGAATTCTTAGGTCCAAGTATTTTCTTTCTTTAATTTTGCAGTGGCGCATGTATCAATGGTTTATATTATAGCACAAACTAGACACAGATACCAGGTCAAAAAATGAAAACTCTATTGAGGATACAATTTGAGCAACGCATGTTGTAATAACTGCAAGAAGAGACAAGATACTTCCAAGAGCATTAAGTTGAACATCAGTGACTGTTGCAATCCCAACACCAATGAGGAGAATAAGGAGGGCAATCTGAATGCTCCTACTGCAATAAGAATTAAAGTAAAGATTATATGAGAACGAGTATAGTCTATAGGTAAGGAAATCAGAATATAAGATTATGGATTAATCAATGTTTCAGACTAAAAGAGCTAAGAATAAAAACACATAATATATCAAATAACATGATTATATATAGGTAACATTGGAAAACAATTCGCTCTGTAACTAGTTTAAAATTTTGGATATGCTTGAACGGATCAGTAAATCAGCATCTTAGACAAAAGGAGGCTAAACCTGAATTTCTTCGCGAGGAAAAGGGTCTCCAATAGTACAGTGCATGGGATGATTGCCAGCTTAGTCATCTAGAATGCAAGAACAATAGAGGATTTCAGAATTCTAATATTTAGAAAAATGCTGAAACGCCAACGTTTTAGAGAAGCTACATAGTCAAAATCCAATTGAAGGAAATAAATATACCTGATAAAAGCCAACCGAATTGAAGCCCAGGCTCAGATTTAACAGTCCAATTGAGATTCCATTCAGAATGCCAAATCCCGTAACAGTCGTTTGATCGAGGGGTTTGTGTTCAAAGAATTTCATCTTTAAAGCCACGTGAAGGGAACAAAAGGTGACTAAAAGATGCCAGCTTGTCAAAGTTGTGGCTGCACAAATATGTATAAGAATCTAATCAGTAATCACTTCCAATTCTGATAGACCAAATAAACATTAACACAGTGGCAACTATCTATCACATGTTAACAATAGTGCACTTCCGTAATTTCTCTTCACAAGAGACTGTACAGTATACTGGTTGAATTATATTTTGATGCTCATCAAAGTCAAACTACAAATCGAAAGCTATAAAATGTGGAATCACGGACAATAACCCCAACCATACCCTTTTAAAACAGAACATACACTTGCAATTGTTTCAAAAGCTCTAATTTTTTGTTTCTACTTAAGTTCATTGTTCAATAGCAACAACTTCATCAATTTCATTTGTTTTGCACATGAAACCTTCAAAACTCATCATTCTTACCAAACTTAAATCCCAAAAAATGAAGGCAACCCAAGTAAATCACCATTGAATGAAATACAACACATGGTCCAAAATTTGAAATACCAACAAAAAATAAGGCAACAATGGAGACTATCCAAAAGTGAAAAGCTTACCAAAAGTGAAACCCAAAGAACTGATGAGGGCCTTGTTGCAAATGACAATGGAGACCGATGAGATCACAGAGAGGGTTAACGCTCCCACTGTCCCCAGCTGAAACCTCTCGCCTTCCCCCATCTTATTTGCCTCCGATCGAACTTCAATCCTGTCCACAAACAACCCCAAAAACTCAAAATCATTTTTTCTCGAATAAATGAGAAGAAAAAAACTGCAGAATATCAGTGAGCTCACTGGGAGTAGCAAAAACTGCGAAATGGGCAATCATAGAAACAGAGATTAATGGGTTTAGAGCGGATCGCAGTCTCAAACAACCCCGTAATCATAACAATTAAATCTTTTTTCTATGAAATGACACATAAAATGTTATGCAGAATATGAAGTGAACCCGCAAAGAGTGGCAAAATTTGAGAAATGGGCAAACGCAGAACTAGAGATTAATGGGTTTTGAGGGGATCACAGAATTAAACAACCCCAAAATCTCAAAAATTCAATCTTTTTACCATAAAATGAGAAACAAAATGCGGAAAATGAAGTGAACTCACTGAGAGTGGCAAAAACTGATAGATGGGCAATCAAACAAACATATATTGATGGATCTTAAGTCACAAAAACCCCCAGAATCTTAAAAATTCATTATTTTTGTCCATAAATCAGAAGAAAGATAATACAGAATAGCAAGTGAACTCACTGAGAGTGACAGAAACCGATAAATGGGCAATCAGAGAACCAGAAGGTGAGTTGTTTGGAAGGGATCAGAGTCTCAGATCTGATGGATGGCTGAGATCAATTCGACGTTAAAGCCCAGTTAATTGTGCTGTCTGTCTCTGTGATTTGCTTGTGGAATTGGACAGTTGGGGTCGGCTGATTAGAGAGAGATGCACCTAACAATATGCGTCGAACATCAGAAATACGAAATTGATATTTGTACGAGTAAGAGAGATGAAGAGATGGAGAGATGGAGAGAGAGGTCTGACAGCTGACAGAAGTGAGTGAGGTCGGTGGCTTTCGCGTCTCTGTCCTCTCTTTTCTTGCTGAAGAACGAGAGAGGACGCGGACGGTTAAAAAAGCTTTGGCCTAGGTGCGAGTTACGTACGAAAGATTCTACGGATTCTCTTCCTCGTAATTTTCATCTTGGCATATTTGCTTATTTGCTCTCCAAACATACATAGAGCTGTCAATTTTTCCTTAGAATTTTAATTCCTCTTGAACTTTTATAATCAGTCTTTTTTTTTTTTTTTTAATTTTAATTTTAGCTGGTTACATCTTAAATTTTTATAAATAGCTAATTTCTTCTGATGCTAAATTTTAAAATTTTCATCCAATTTTCATCTATTTTGATCATCCGGCCAGCACATGATAATTGTATGGGGCGTAAGAATGGAAGATTAGATAGATGAAAATTGGATGAATAATTTTAAAATCTAAACACTATGAGGGAAATTGGCTATTTATAAAATTTTAGGGGGTAATCGGTTAAAATTAAAATTCAGGAGGAAATTGGCTAGTTATAAAAGTTCATGGGTAATTAGCTAAAATTAAAGTTCAGAGGGAAATTGGCTAGTTATAAAAGTTCATGAGAATAATTGGCTAAAATTAAAGTTCATGGAGAAATTAGCAGCTCTATGCAAGTTCGGAGGGCAAATTGGCAAATACCTCTTTTTTCTTTTCCAGTTCTTATTTGAATGATCATGACTAAATCACTATAATATTTCGTGTTGTCTTATTAGGCGAAAAAGAATCTTACTCCCTACTAGAGATGGTGGTTAATTCTCCTATCTCCAATTTTTTTCTCCTTTTTATCTTCTTATTTGAACAGTTATTATTAAAGAATCTCAACATTTTTTTGCATTTTTTGAGAGAAAGACAAAAAGAAAAGTGAGAGAAAAGGGAAGGGAAATGAATTTAGAGGAAAAATGATCTTACTCAAAGATGATGGTTAAGCGGTGACTTAAAAAAAAAAAAAATTGAATATTATATAGAAATCTTGAACCAAAAATAAAAAACAAAAAATGAGATTGAATTAGCTAGGGCTGGGTTCGGTTTAAAACAGTTTGGTTTTTTGCCAAAACCGAAACCAAATCAAAATTTCGGTTTGGTTCTTTTTTTTTCGGTTCGGTTGTGTTTCGGTTCAGTTTTGTTCGGTTCGGTTTCCGTTTTTTTTTTCAAAAAAATAAAATAAATTGAAATATAAAATTTTAGCATCTCCAACACAATCACACTTCAAGTCTTACACATCTAAAATAAACATAACAAAGTCCGAACTTTAAATTTACATTGCACGGATTTATTCTTGTCTCATAAATTTATATTGCACTAGCAAAGGTGCTTATACATTCATGCACAGGTTAGTTGTAATGGTGTTGAAGCCTTAAGTTAAACAAATAAGATTGATGCTTTTCTGAAATAACGTATTTAACTGTATAATTTTTGGATTCTTTCATGTATTATTGAATATATATTCTAATTATTCCTTGCTTTGTTCATAAAATTTAACTTTCTTCAGACTGCTGCAGCGAAAGGAGAAGCACCTCCGTGTGAGGATTCATCAGATGCACGGCCAATGGTTACAAACCCTTAAAATCAAAACCTCCCATTTTTTCTAATTGACAGCCGTTTTAGTAATAAAAATATTAATTTATAATTATTTATAAAACTTCGGTTCGGTTCGGTTTCCGAATCCTAGAAACCAAACCATATTTGGTTGAGTTCGGTTTAACAGTTTCGGTTTGGTTTTTTTTCGGTTCAATTCTTTTTGGCTTTGGTTCGATTTGGTTTTTAATTTTTTTCGATTGTCAATTTTTTGAATCCACCCCTAAAATCAGCGACCTCTAAATTATACGTGCGACCATATCACAAACATAGAAAACTCGGCCAATGTCATTTTCCCTGTTGGGACTCTCGCTCTCTTTGCAAAGAATTTCATGGTGAAGGGTGGATTAGAATATAAATTGTTTTGTTAATAGTTGTTACATGTTCATTTGTACTGAAAAATAAATATTTTATGTCTAATTGTCTACTACGGTACGGCCAAATATCCAAACTTTATGGCATTTAGAATTTTGTAGATTTGAAAAACGTAGTGCCTAAAAAGTTACAAATTCAGATTCTCTTTCGGATTTGGCGTCACGAGTCAGCAGATTGAACAATTCGGCTTTTACTTTGTGCTAGGTGACTAAAAATATGATTAATAAAGACCATAAAATTTAAAATAAATTATTTGAATTTTTGAATTTGTTAACACTGTTCAGTGAGGTACCGTTTGGTATGCAAACGGGACAGAACGAGATAGAACGAAACGGAAAGAAGGTTCCATGCTACGTTTGATGTACACACATGCCATAATGGAACGAAGGATTAAATGACAATTGTATCCATCCACTCTGACGAGTTCAACCTTACATGAGCACCGTCAATTAGTCCAATGTCATCCCTCACATCTTCCGCCTAATCCTCGTTGTCCCATTCCTTGAGCGACAATGTCGGCCACGTCCTGCGAGTGGGTGGTCTTGAGGTTTTGGCAATGAAGGGCGACGGTCTCGTCGTGGGATAAGCAGGGAGGAAGAATGCGGCGAGAGGAAAGTGGGGTTGGGTTCGGATGGGTTTATTGGGATTGGGTTAGCCTGGGTTGCAGGGTTTGTGGTAGAGGAGGAAGATGAGGCTACATGAGAAAGGGTAAATAGTGAAATTAATGAAAAATATGAGGGGTATTGTTGTCCAAAAGTTATAATTTTGTGTTCCATTGGTTGGAACAAGTAGTTCTAGAGGGAGGGTGGTACAAAAGTTAACTAAAATATGTTCCACGAAACAGTGCGTGACAGATAAATTGGCATACCAAATGTAAGACGAGTGCATCCGTCTCGGCTACTTTTGTCTCATCCACGTACCAAGTACCTAAGTTTTGAGACCTCGATTAAAAATTTACAGATATATTTTTCCAAATTTCTTTTGGTACCCTATTTTTGTCGTTACTCAATTGGACAGGTGTCCCAGCAAAGAATCCTGAGCAGACCAAAGTAGGGGTGGGCAAACGGGTATAGGAACTGTGGGTCTTGGCGAGTAATCAAGGTTCGGGGCAGATACGGGCCGATTCTAATTTTATCAAAAGAGAAACGGGGTGGGGTTTTGAAATTTAACGGGCGGGCCGGGTCCAAATGTATAGAAAAATGGGCCTCGAACCGACCCATTTGTGATTGCAATGGACGGACGAGATTGAAGAGTAAGCTACCATCCAATTTGAATCGTTAATACCTAGGTCTCATCCTCTAGCAGTCGAGCTCGACTCTGTCACAAACTCACAATGTCGCTGGACTGTCTTCGAACTCGATTCTCTCTCGGCGTCAGTCATCTCCTCCAACACCCCGACATCATCGCCGTCACGAGTCTCTGCCTTGGAAACCACCACGATGGCCCAGCAACCTCGATTGTCCTCCTCGAGTCCTCAACGACATCCTAGACTTAGAGAACCCAGGCACCCGCACCACCCATCTTCTCGATTCTCCTTCTCTCATCGTCGATGACATCACCGCCGTCGTGACCACTAACACTCCATCGCCGTTGCCAATTCAGGTGAATTCTTTAACCTCTGATGTTAATTGATGCTTAAACCTGCCAAATATAAACCTAGTCCTTCCCATATTTTACATAATTTCTTGTGTGTTTGTAGTTCTTCCCTTCAATTACATAATTTCTGAATTTCAATTGCATAATTTTATAATTTCTGGATTACATAATTTATGGATTTCAATGTGGGTTTTCGATTTGAATTAGAATTTAGTTCTTCCCTTCAATTGCATAATTTATGGATTCCAACTTTTTTCGATTCCAAACTTCAATCTATAGTCACACGCGCACTCGCACTCTCGCTGTCGGAAGAAGAGAAAGATGTTGGACATCAATCTGTTCAGAGTGGAAAAGGGCCACAACCCGAAAATAATCCGAGAATCTCAACGACAACTTTACAAAGGTATCGAGATCATTGACGAGGTCATCCAGCTCGACAAAGAATGGCGCCAACGTAATCCCCATCTTCTTTAATCCATTTCTTTATTTAAAGCCTTGAGTTTTTCATGAGCCTTGAGATTTATTTTGAATGAATTAATTAGGATTAAGGTCTTGATTTTCGTGGTGAAATGATTAATTTTTAGGTCAATTCGAGCTCGAGAGCCTTCGGAAATAATTCAACAAGATCAACAAGCAAGTAGCTCATCTGAGGATTGTGAGTATTTTTTAAAAATAGCTCAGCTGAGGATTGTGAGTATTTTTTTTTTTTAATTTTTCCTATTTGAATGTTATCTTGATGATCGGTTGTTTTCCAAAAATACATCCTTAAGGTTATTAAATCCTGAACTTTTGGATTGTACATGTGTTTAGAAACTCATAATAACTTGTGAAACTTGTATTTGCTAAACAATTATCGAATGATAATAATTATCTTGGCACCATAAGTTAGGTTAGAATTTGTTCTTAGATCATTGACTTTGAAAAATAAGTTCAATTGGTTTTGTAATGGATGAGGAAATTGGTTAAAGAGGGTCGGTGTGGTTGCATGGAATTACGATGGTGATTTTGATGCTTACTTGAGTGTTTAGGGTGCGTTTGTTGCACCGTACTATCTTGAACTGGATTAACTTCAAGGACTAAAGTAGATTGGCTTGGCATGGACTAAGTAGTATAGGGCCCTGTTTGGCAGATCGGATAAAGGATCGGATAAGATTAGTTATACGGACTCAGGTGTTTGACGTTCACCTGTACTAAATAAGCGCCGGATTAATTTAACCGGTCAGATAGGATAACACGGTATACACCCGCTTAATAAAACCAACCAAAACGCCCGGATTATTTAGTCGGGGAAGAAGAATATGAGAGAGAAAGGGAGGGAGTTTAGGGGGTGTGGCGGAGAGAGCTGGGGAACAATTATTTGGGATTCTTCTGCAGTTGGGGAAGAAGAAGGGAGAGAGAGGGAGGGTGTTTGGGGGTGCGGAATAATAATGTGTTTAATGCAGTGTTGCACTAAGTCACATTTTTTTTTTTCGAAATCCAATTTTTTTTCAAAATTTTAATTCATATTTACTAATATTTTACTATTATTAATCTACATTTTTTTCCTCACTCACTATCTCTACACTCTGTGTATCTTTCCTTTCATTTCTCACGTATTACATCATATCCGTCGAACTGAACTCTGCTCTGCATCTCTGTCTCTCTCTCCCTTTCCTTTTTCTTCTCCCAATTTCAAGCTTAGTCAAACCTTTCTCTTTCCCTTTCCACCTCTTGCCATTCTCTTTGGGTGTTTTGCAATTCCTAGATTTGGGGTTTTTGCAATTCTCAGAGGCCCCGCATGGTAACCGGTGGGGAGTCGGGGTTTGTCAAGTTGGGGGAGTGAGAGACGGTGATGGCTTGGGGTTGGAACACTTGGATTTCTTGTGGGGCTGTAAGACCCTATCCGAGCATGTAGAAACGATGGCAATTTTTAGTGAAGAAATTCGAGACGAACTTGGATTTCTTGGATTTGTTTTCGTCAAACCCAGTTGAAGGTGAACGCAAGAGACGGTCTTAGTAGTCCGAAGCATTTTGGGGGGTCTCTCTAAGACCTCCTAGCGACGTTGTTAGTCCTTGCGAGTCCCACCTAATCTCATTAAGACTAGTCCTTACCAGTACCAAACACGAGACTGGACTAAGTTTTAGTCCAGTCCAGTAATAATTAGTGAGGGCAAACAAACGCACCCTTATATTATTATGTCTACTACTGAACTTGTAAGCATATGGTTGTAAAGCCGGCCCTTTTGCATATACAGATATTTATAATATGTGTGGAAATTTGATTGAGAATGTTATCCAGATTCTAGAAACCTGGGTCATTAAAACATTGAATAAGATTTTTTATTCCCTCTTTCTCTTAAAAATAAGAGCAGATTCTTATAGGGCCATTAAGTGCATTTTGACTGAATTTGCTTTCTTTAAGTATGTATGTTTCTATTGAAGATTAAAAAAAAAAATATAAATATTATCTCGAGCATATAGCTTTGATTAGTTTGACCGAATTATGCAATTATGCAATTGCGGTCCTTGCCCTGTTGTCTTGCACACTTGTTCAAAGTTCTTCAAGTAAATTCCTCTAAGTTCCGATTATTCCTGAATTCTGGATTCTGTTTTGTGTTGCTCAGTTGTAATAGCTATATATCTTGTGTTACTTTCTTATATATTTTGAGTTGCTTTCTTATATATTTTGATGTCATTGAAGAAATTAATGTGGATGTTATTTCGGTTTTAATGTTTATGTTTTTTTTGGATTTGAAGTGCAAAAGCTTGAAGCAACTCTTGTAATTTTTGAAAACGTATGAGTTACTGTGTAGTGCAGTTTTATAAAAATGTATTTTTGAAAAAAAAGAAAAATAGAATTGGACCTGTGGATCCGTTCCGAACTTGCCTGTTTGAAACGGACCAGATTAGGTCCGGTTTCAAAACTCAAAATCTCTCTACCCAACCAGGCCCATCCCGTTACAATTTATAACAGATGGGTCAGGGTCCTCCAAATTTGAGCCCGCCCCGATCTGTGCCCACCCCGAGACCAAAGTCTTCAAACGTCATTTAGATCATAACCTGTTCTCTCCGTTTCAGTTCTTCGAGAAACACCGACGAATTTTATAACTGCTTACTCTTTGTTGCTTTGCTTGATGGAGAATTCACAAGAATTATGCAGCACAGAGGGAGATGGGGATGGACGGAAGGCGGTGCCTTCCACTTCTTACACCGCCGCATCCTGCGGCGCTGCGTATCGGTTGTTTGGCCGTCAAGATTCGGTGCACAATTGCTTGGGCGGCGGTCGAGGTGAGCAAAGATTGAAACTTTTTGTTTTATTTTGACTTGAATTATTGAAAGATTGAAACTTCTACAACATTTCTACCATTTGGGTTTGTGGGGTATCTCTATAATTTCCTTTCCATCTTTTAAATTTTTGAGGTTTTGTCACTTGATTATCTGCGAAAAACGAAAATGTTGTGCTTTTTGGGTTCTTGATTATCTTGTAGTGTCTATGTTGCCGGTTGATTAGAAACTTTAGACTGGCGTTAGATGGCGGGAGTCAACGGATGAGTAAAGGCGTAATGTAGAAGGTTGCGGTAAAGAGGGCAGTTGATTATTATGCTCTTTAGTTGAAAATAATATGTGGTTAGTTGTAACTGCCTGTGAAAAAAGGATGCCTGAAAGTTAAAGAGGGGAAGAAGGAGGGTTTAAGCAATCAATGGCATTCGTGGAGCCGAATCACTTGCATTTTTTGGGAAACGGAAGAGCAAGCTAACTTTTTGGGTTTCGTTGAGTTAATTTGCATCGTATTGACTCTACCAGCACATTCCTTACAAGAGTCGAAGTATCGTGAATCTGTGATAGAGGAGCAATTGCCATCGTTCCATAATGCAAGGTTTAAGCACTGCATATTTGTGTTATGATCTGATGCATGTGGACAAGTTCGAATCTGGTATATATATCCTAGGCTTCTAGTAGTGCTCACCCAGTATGCCCCATTATCGAGTTGTTCGGAAATATCACATTTACCTATCACTATCAGTATGTGTGTACAAGTTGCCTGATTCTTTTCCAGTCACATTTGCTCTTCCTGAAGAGTCTTTTGTCAATAGCTAGGCTTGTTGTTCCCTTGTTATTCGTTCATGCATACGTGAACAACTTGAATGTAGGAGTTGGATTTTAAGTATCTGAATATTGTAGTGACTGACCTGAGAATGGTTTTCACTTGTTAAAATAGAAAGTATCAAGTTAGTTTACATGAAATTGGCTGCCAATATCACTGTCTTACATAATTTCTTACTGCAGCGCGTATTTGCATATATGCCTATCTTGATTTGTCAACATTGTATTTTTTCTTTTCCTCACTGTATCTCTTTTCTTTTTAGCTGCTGATATTTTGTTATGGAAGCGGGGGCGTGTTTCCTTTGTCACTATCATTGTTGCTACAGTTGCCTGGCTTGTGTTTGAGCGGTCTGGACTATCATTCTTATCAATTTGTGCAGACGTCTTGCTGATTTTGGTTGTACTCTTATTCCTTCGTGCCAACTATGCTGATTTCAGAAATAAGTAAGAATTTCTACCCTGTTCCCCGGTATTTTATTACCCTAGAATTGGAACTGTTTTCAGTTAGGATAACTATCATATTCCCTAGAATTGGGACTGTTTTCAATTAGGATAACTATCATATTCTTTGTGTAGACAACTGCAAACATTACCGGAGCTAGTTGTATCAGAGGAAATGGTTCATAATGTTGCAGCGTCGTTCCGTGTTAAAATCAACAATGTGTTGCTTATGGCTCATGACATCACTCTTGGCAAAGACTTTAGACTATTCTTCAAGGTCAGTATCAATGTTACGATAATAATACAGGAATCGCCAGGTTTGAATTATATGTGCAGGATATATTTTTATTTCTGAAACTACAAGGTGTTCACATATTACTTTGCATCTGTAGCATTTACTGTCTTACCAAGCTACTATACTTTTGGCAGGTGGTGGTTTGTTTGTGGCTCTTGTCCGTCATTGGCAGCTTTTTCTCCTTTTTTACGCTTGCCTATATCGGTGTGTTCTTCATCCTCCTGGGACTGTCAAATGAATGATCCGTGATGTCTTGTATGGGGTTTTATTGCTATTATTTGGTATATCATGCAACTATATGCAATGTTTGTATGACAGTTCTCCCTTCCCGATTTTGCTTTACTATTCGTTCAGGTCTGTATACATTTATGTGTCTTGTGACGTTTTATGCTAAAGAAAGTTCTTTCGTGGTGGCAGGTTCAATCTTGTCGATAACACTTCCAGCCTTATACAGCAAATATGAAGAGACCGTGGATAGGTGTTTCGGAAATATCCACCGGCAGTTTTCAAAGCATTATAAAATAGTGGATGATGGTGTTTTCAACAGACTTCCCAGAAATGTACCCAAGGACAAAGATTCGTAAGCCGGATAATTTAGATTCAGACGCTTAGTCATCAATATCGTACTGTTAGGTTTGGTATTTCGTTATAAAGTCATCGATATGTTGGATACTTCGCCGCTGCTTCCTCATACAAGGCCCGGCATAATTTTCCGTTCTTTTCGTTCATGTTCCATCGTCTGTACGCTGCTTTGTAGTTGTGTTGGTCAGGATGTGAAACTTGAGGTCTTCTTCAACGAGTGAACATTTCGGATATCGAATGAAAATGCAAGTGACCTTGTTCACTGAATCACTGTAAACATCATCCGCGAACCAAACAAAGTGCACCTGCAGCGAATATCGAATGAAAATGCTGGTGAGTTTTCAAGATCATTCAATTGATCAAGGGATTGATCGTACTAGTAAGGTCTTCCACAAATTCATCCATGAAAATGTAGGTCATTCAAACTCCTTAATTGCAGATAAATGTACTGTGGCTGCTTCATTGTACGGATATCTGGAAGAATATGATAGTTAAGAAGAGATTAATTTGTCAGTCAGTCGCTTACAACTTGATTTAAGAAGAGATTAATCTAACAAGAAGTCAATGTGATCAGATTTTACTGCTATTCTTATCCTTCAATGTAAAGCCTATGTACTCGGAAATCAATGGTGTTCCGTTGTCAACTTACACAAAAACGTCTTAGAGGATCTCCAAAGGAGATGTTAAATTGTCCAAATCAGCAATAACGGTGACAAAAAATAGCAGTAATGTTTTCCAACCGAGAAGCCAAATCTGATGTGGCATGACATAGATTGACATCTCTTCCCTCTTGCTGTCAAATTTGACAGCACCGTCAGATTTTTTTTAATTAATTATTAAATGCTTTTTATTAATTTCAAGCATTATCCTTTTGTTTCTTTTCATTCTCAATACAAAGAAAGTACATGAATTATTATTTTATGTTTAAAATTTGACATATCGATTGTAGAGTAAAAGTTTAAAAGATGTCAAAGTGGCACGTAAGCTTTCAAATTTAAATTTTAGGTTTAAAATTTGATATTACCTTTCGAGATGGTCTTACTATTTAAAGTAAATAATAAGGACAATTCCATTGCTTGCCTTCCTAAAATCGGTGGACTTGCTTTTAGTTTCGTCAATTTTTAAAACTAGCGTCACTGTTGTTTTTATTTAACATTTAAAAAAAAATTCATGGATCAATTTGAGACAAAAACAATAGATTGAGGGCCAAAGTAAAACAACCGAAGATTTCAGGGACGAAATTTTAATTAACTTCTCATTGTTCTTCTTCTTCGTTCTCTCAGACACCACTAATCGAAAAAATCCAGTCCTCCGTTTACACAGGCGCCATGAGCAGGTCCCGATTGGATAGAATCCTCTCCACATTCGTCGTGGTGCACCCTCACGAGACCTCAGCTCTCCTCCACTCCTCATCCTGCTTCTTCTTCGTAAGCTCTCTTAATTCTCCAATCCCATTTGCTAAGTTTCGAAAACTGGGTTGTTTTTCTTTCAGCTAAATTTTGATTTCCCAATGCAGATTTTGTGCGCTTACTTTGTAGTGCTCCCGCTGCGCGATGAGGGTGCAATTTCCTTAGGCCTGTCGAACCTGCCGAGCCTGTTTGTGGGGTCATTGGTCCTCACATCGATTGCCGCACCAGTTGCAACTCTCATCTTCTCTTTGCCCAACGTTTCCAAAGGCAAGGTATGTGTGTATTTCCGCCATTTTTTTCGATATGGGGAGTATGAAATTGTGGTAAAGATTTGATTATTTTCATGTGGGGTGTCTCTGTAACGTTATAGTTTTAGTTGAAAAGCAAAAGGGTGTAGCTAGTTATGCGTGTGTTTCCGCCATTTTTCGATATGCGGAGTTCGAAATTGTTGTTTTTGTGATAAAAATTGATTCTTTTGATATGGGGTGCTTCTGTAACTTGATAACTTTTGGTTCAAGAGTAAAAGGGTATAGCTGGTTCATGCCAGATTTTCGATATGTGTTTGTTTGCGTATCGCTCTGTAATAGTTGCTTCTTGAAATTCCAGGCTTTGGTTTTGATGCTCAGGTTTTTTAGTGTATCACTTGTTGCATTCTTCTTTCTATGGCGTGCTTCGTCAGCTGGATCACAAGCTGAGGTGAAGGTGAGATGAAATCTCATTAGTGTACAATTTGTCTCTGATTTGTTTGCTTTTTACACTCTTGAAATTTGTTTGTATTGTACTGAATGGTTCCCTTGTGTATGGCTAGGGCTTGGTCAGTATAGACACCGCGTCAGTAAATGACGAAAAGGTAGTTGTTAATCATGCTGGTACAGCATATTCTGTAGCGTGGGAGAACCTTGGCCGGTTCTATGTCTCGGTCAGAATTGCATTGTTCCTCTGGGTATGATGAATATATCTAATTCCTTTTTTTTTTTTTTTTTTTTAAATTCTATTTTGGATATGTAAAGTAATTTGTTTATCTAACTTTATGTAGTGATAAAAATTTATGCTTTTTTTTTAAGATTGCCCTACTTAATCTAATTACAATTTCCTCGACTTGGGCTAGAATAATCGATGTCATGGACAGTGAGGTATGTATCCTATCCTTGTCACACGAATGTGATTGCAACACGAATTTTTGTTACACTTGTAACTAGATGTGTATTCAGTCAGGTTCAAGATTATTTGGTTTTATTGGTGCCGGTGCCACACTAGGCCAGCTTTTTGGGTCATTGTTTGCCACGGGAATGGCTAGGTTGGGGCCATGTATGTTTTCTTGTTCAGTCTTTTGGAATTTGATAGTATCTGTATGTGATATGTCTTAAACCATGGATTGATTTGTTGCAGTTCTACTGCTATTTTCTGCTTTATTAATGGAGTTCGCTGCACAGTCATCAAAGGGGATAACCCTGGATTTATCTCATTTCCCTGAGGAATTATCTCCCATCAGGTTAATTATATTATCAACTTCATTTGGCACTGGATTCTGCGATATTGTTATATGAAAAAACAAAACATTTTATAAAGCACAGATTAGAGTCAAGACACTGAACTCTCTGTTACAATTTGTAATAATATCTGTTGTTTCTCCATATTAAGTAAATTATGAGCTATTAGAATGTCGTAAGTGATCTTGTCTTGGAATGTTATTTCATGGGTTCAGACATGCGGTGAATTTTTGCGTGCCAATTAAGTTTGAAATTTATTGGGATTCAAATTGTTTAGTGAATTTTCGTTCAAACTATTTCCAGCCCAACTGCAGTTAAACAATCCTGAAAAACTATAAGCTTGCATTCTTTGTGTAACGTGTACAATATATAAGTTGTTGTGTAACTTTATTTCTTGACGTGGTTTCTTTTTTTTGTTGTTAGAGAATCTGACCCTGATCGGAAGAATGAGTCTGATGGGCAAACCATGCACAACAAAGGAAATTCTCCCAAGTCACCTACTCCGGTGGTGAAGCCTCAGATGTGGGCCATTTTAGATGGATTTTGGCTTATATTGTCATCATCTTACTTGTTGTATGTGTCCTTGTTCCTGTGGTTGAGTGCAGTTATCTCTTCATTCTTCTATTTTCAGGTAAGACCATCCATTGTCACAAGGTCTAACTTAATTCTAAATTAGCGTCTCTATCTGATACTATATTACCTGACTTGACTCAAAATGGAGTCTTGTCTGCGGATATGTTGCTCTCCCCATATGTTTTTATTTTCCGTTTCTTCTGTTTTCTGTGTTCCTTCTCTCATTCTTTCTTTCAGCTGATTTTTATCTCTGATTTTTTGTAACTGCAGAAAGTGAGTGTAATTGCCATGACTGTTACTACCTCTCTTGGGAGAAGAAAATTGCTGGCTCAGATAAACAGCTTTATTGCTGTTTTTATCCTTGCCGGACAACTTACCATAACGGTAGGCTGTTCTTCGGAGATTTTGTTTTATAGTTGATATTTTGGCTAGTTTCTATGGTAACTAACGTGAGATATCCTTTGTAGAATATTTTCTTAGCTCATTGCTTGCTAAAAGCGGGTCCTTAGTTAGTTTCACGTATGCAGCTGCTTTTCTGCTTTCCTGCTGAAGGCAATTTAGTGTCCTATCCTGTTATGTTTCTGAAGGAAAGAAAGCTTGTCTCAGGCCTGGAGGAGGATGACTTATGATCAACATGTTCCTATTTCTAGGCGTCACAAGAAAAATTAAAGATTCTTAAGGCAAATTAGGGACTGGTTATAGTGCTGACTTTTTGGTTTTGGTAGTGGTTATAGAATGAATTTTGCCTTGAAAGTGCAATGCAACTGATCTATGACGTTGTTAAACCGTTTATTTACTGTCATGAAATTCCAACAAATGTTTCCACAGATTTGTATGCTTTGTATCATACATCAATATAGGTATTTGGGTATAATCACTTCGTGTATTTTATTAACAGGGGCGTTTTCTAACCATAGTGGGGGTTACTACAGCTATATGCGCGGCTCCATTTGTTGCCTTCTTAAATTTGGTTGCTATAGCTGTCTGGCCAACTTGGGTAGCCGTTGCAATTTCTGAGACCTTGCGGAAGGTTTGTATTTTCTAACTTCTGAGTTGCGATTTCCCTTTCACAGTTTATCTTATAGCTTAATCCAACCATGACGTCTGCATGTAAATTGCTAAAAACATGTTAATTTTATGTAATATGCATAGGTGAATTTTCTTTCATTTGGATAAAAATGATGGTCAAAATCTCATACGAGAGGAGTGTGAAGTTGGATCTTACAGCTTTCTTTTTGTGTTTCTGTGCAGTTTGTTACTTATGTTCTGACCAGACCAGGTAGAGAACTCCTGTTTACTGTCGTCTCGCAGGATGAAAAATACAAAGCCAAGGCACGAGTTTCTGAATTCTTTTTGACATTTAAAATAATTTCGATTTGGTTTCTTTATCAAGCGTGTTCATCTACCGCGGATTTCTTATTGGTGCCCTATATTGCATTAATCATGTACCGTGAAATTTGAAGCAAATCACCCAACAATTTGAAACATTATTTAACCGAGTCCGTGATATTGCAGGTTTGCATCGATGTGTTTGTTCAAAGACTAGGAGATGCTACAGCAGCAGGAATGTACAAGCTACTTTTCAGCACTCTTAACGGAAGAGCGCCAACCGTCTCTCTCTACGGCCTGCCTGTATGTTTGAATTTGGAAGCATTTGCATTTTTTTTGTACCGGGTTATTTATCTCGAACAATGATGAACTAATGCTGATCCTCCTTGTTCTTCTCCAGGTCTGTTTGCTATGGATGGTTATTGCGTTTCATTTAGGTCGCCGTCAAGCTGAACTCGCAAAACTCCGGACACATTCCACTTCCTAATGTTTCTTGCACACATTTTTTTGCTGTTTAGCCACTGTAAGAAAAACCGAAAATAACATAGAGCATGTTGCCTCAGAGATAGATATACGATGATGTACGAAATGCAAGTTCTTTCAGCTCATGTGTGAGTAAATTTAGCAATCGAATAGTCACCGTTGGATCACTAGGTCTAAACTGAAACGAAACTGTACTGGGAACATAACTGCAGTTAAAATCTTGAAAGGCGTCCGGCGGGTCGACCATTGCCCAGAAATTAACCTGCCGCCTATCCCCTGTACCAACTCTATGCTGCATTGCGTTGATCAACAATGTTTTTAGCTTCTAATGGCATGGGAACCTGTCAAGCATCGGCATACCTTAACAATATTAACAAGCAGGAGATCGTAAATGGTGAAATGGCAATTGTTCGTTTATGCATAGAGAACGCCGGAAATCATACAATGCGAAAAAGTATGTTTCAGGGCAATTTCCGGCACGAGTGTCTTCGGACATGTCCAAATGTTCCAGAGCACACTGTCTACGGTTATAAATTGAAGTTTAAGACGAGAAGTGCTTACCAAAGTGATCAAGTTCCGTGGAGAGAACACACGCGGTCTCCAATCAAGTTCCTTTCCCAATCTGCTATGTCCTCAAATGCGTACTCAGGATGATTCTTAAGGGGCTCTTTCCATGGATCTTTTTTGGTCAGATCGTAGGTAGCTCCGCGTATCGCCCTCTTACTTGGCCCGCAAGGTCTCTTGGAAGCAAGAGCATCATACGCTGCATTCAGCTGCACAGTCACAGTAGCTATCAATTTTGAACAATTCGTAAAGGGTCTGGCATTGTGCGATTTCCTGATGGAAAGAAGCAGAAATATATAGAGAAACAAGGACTCACATTCATTCCAAGGAACCAGTATATGTAAGCAGCTGCAACAGCCGGAGCCCTTCCCAAACCAGCAGTGCAATGCGCACACACATTTCCTTCTCCCTTGGAGATGGCCCATTCGAGCGATGAAACTGCTTTAGGTAGACCATTCCACAAGGAATCTGGATAGAAATCCTTTGCCTGCAGTAGTCGATAAACGAAGTAAGGCAAATGCACAAAGGGTCCCAAAACTTATTTTGTTGCTGGTCCGCAATGTTTCCAGAACAAAGCACGATGCTTCTTCAACCCAAAATATGATGTTGGTAGAAGGAAAGATTATGTTATGCCGATCATTTTAGTATAACCAGCATAACATAATCTGTTAAAAATGCGTCTCCTCATGTGCCGGATTCCAAGTCATCAGTCATCAGTGTGTAGTTCATGCCTGAAAATTGAACACGAGCAATCACGTTAGTTGAAGCAACTGGAATCGATTGCATGGTAGTAAGGTACTAATTTCTCTACTCTTACATGGTACCGTATTTGTTCGTTTTCTTCAACGTTTATCCCAAATGCAAAACCCAAAATTCCGGTCACGTAAACTTCACTTATCACCGTTGTCCCTAGTCATTCCAAATTCGTAAAAAGACGTCCTGAATCACTAGTCAATTAAAAAAAGAAACGTCCTAATCCTCGATAATTTCAGCAACAAGTCATTGCTGCTGCTCAAAATCGTGGTAATCTACACAGACTGATATCTGATGTGATCGTAAGTAGCTAAATTATTCGAAGTTACTGCAAAGTACTGAACTTTTCGCATCGCCTATCAGACACAAAAACAGTTTTCTGGACCAAAAAGAAGGAAAAGAAAAGGAAAAACAGTTTCTGAAATGCAGTGCATACTTTCTTCTTGTGACACCCGCTCCTCCATTAGGGGAATAAAAGTTGAACTGGTGCCGGAATTTAGGTGCAATGAAAAGTTAATAGTTACTATCTTAAAGCACTAATCCTACATTTAAGTAGAGATCAAAAGTGTGCAACTGAGTTATAATATATAATCTACAGTTTGTACACATGAACTAAAAACCTACAAATGCTCCAGTTAGAAGATGCGACTATGAGACGGAGGGTCAGAGCAAAAGGGCGAGAGGAAGACCTAAGAAGACTTTGAAAGAGACTAAAAGACATGGAGTACTTAGAGCTAACGGAAGGCTTGATGCAAAACTGAGCGCAATGAAGTTCTAGAATTCATTCAAACGACCCCACTTTGTAGAATAAGACTTGATTGTTGTTGTAACATAGCTTTAAATTTGATTTGTAAAAAAATTGCATTTAGCACTTTCAAGTTTCAATCTTTAGATCAAACTACACAACTAATCAGAAAATAGAGAAAAGCCCACAAAAGATAACAAACTACAGAATCATCAATCCATCAAAAGTGAAAAGCAAGCCGAAACTACAGAAATGTAAACGCGGGGAAATTACAAGACTGACCCAGATCATGGTGGTACTCGTAGGGGTTCCTCATCATCTTCTTCATGGCAGTGTTGTACTCCTCCACCGTGTTCTTGGAACTGGAGGGTCTGCTGCTCGTAGGGTTTTCCGGCAATCCACGATAAATTTTGTTGGGTTTCTAGGAATTATTGAACCCATTAAATAATAGAAAACTAATGAAAATAGTTTGAAAACTTTAAATTTTAACAATAAGGACAAAATAAAGGATAAAGTGAATAGTACCAGAATTAATTTTTTAGTATAAAAATATGATTTTTTTGTTAAAGTGAACAGTATCGTAGATTTTCGTTGAAGTTTTTTAAATAATTGCATGGATATTTCTTAATGCTCTTTACAGACGCATCGTTTTCAAGTGGAGCTAAGAGGACTGAGCCAAAGTAACTGTTGCCTACACTTGCCGTTTGTCTCCACTTCTTTCTTCTTCTCCTCCCTCTGTGGGAACCAGAGATTTATACCAGTCATGCAGATAATTTGTCCAAAATGCCCTTACAATTCTATCAAAATTCCTAATGTGAGGCCAGTGGATCTTCCAAGTTCCAAGATGATATTTTCTAACAGAACAGATTGGTTTGGGATAATAAAATCAGGTTGATCGTGGACCATATTATTGGTTCGCTAAAAACCAAAACCTTTCATCAAGCTATTTGAGCATGTGGCTTTCAAGTCTTCACCTTTTGTCTACAGCCATGAAATGGTTGACATCTAATACTATAACTTTTCTAAATCGTTGTATACAGTAGTTGATAAAGCACGGATTTTTCCTGCGATGTTTTTCTCGTATGTACAACATTATGTGAGTATGACATGATTGTATACGTAAATGAGATGTTTGATGCAAGTTTCCTCGACTTGCATGGCAAATATTAAGCTTCACCTGCACACGAGGGACTTTCTTATATATCCCAAGGTGCATGCTTCATGGTTAGATATCGCACATATGTGCCCCGAGATACAAACGAATTTCTAATTAGCTTTTCTATCTCTATCTTTTTATATATTATATTCATTTTGGGATCGAAGCAATCTTGCGAAAATCATACCTTAACACTTTACGTTGTTTCAAAGTTAAGTTGATTTTGTACATCAACAAAGACATTCCTAACACCATCAGAAATTTGTAACATTCGCTTTTTTTCAACTGTCTTGGGTCAACACTAAGAACAAGTATTAATTTTACATGTGATTACGCACATATAGGTACAGACGTGCTGCAATTTGATTGTGTTACCATTAAATTAAACCCAAACCCATAAATTAATATAATTTAACCATTAATCCCCCGGGGTGGGGTGGGTTGGAGACGGAACCGGATCCCCTCCGGATCCAATAAAACTGGGCATGCTGAGTAGATCATCTGGACCGTTGAAATTTGATCTAACGGTTACAAATAGGGGCATCCTCTAAAGTTATAATAATTATGGCTGTTTGCAAATTTCAACGGTTCAAATCACTTGCTCAACAGACTCGGTATATATGGATCCGGAGGGAATCCGGTTCCGTTGGAGACCATCAAGTTAGTGTAACATTAAAAAAACATATATCTAACAAAACTGGTGCCATTTCACATGAAACTTCCTGCACACCTCTGCACTACTGTGGCTACAAATCAACAAATCACAATCTAATTTGTCTCTTGATTTGTCTTGGAAAAAAACCTCCAAAACATGACTTTTTTAGAATTAGAGGGAACACATCCAACATGTTTTGATGTTTCGTGTCATATCAACACAAGAATATGTTCTCGAGACCCTACTTTGCAATCCTCTCTAACCTTTTTTCCTTCTATAATTTTCACTTCACAAAAACAATTAGGGTTATCAACTTATCAAGCAGTAGAACAACAACAAAGAATTATCCTATTAAATAGAATCAGTTGAAATTTACTTGCAATTCGTTTATGATTCATTATCATAAGGATTTATTGTGACAATGGAAGTGTACCTTATTGTTCTTATTAATATTTTATATGATTTTTAACACCCCCCCCCTTTTTTTTGGAGTCTAATTTAGAGAAAAAATAGATAGAGAATAGTAAGAGAAATTCTTTTTCTAATAATTGAACACCGATATAGGTGCATTTAACATGCAATTTTCTATTTTAATCATTTAAGTCCTCATACTATTCCGAAAATTGAAATAAAAGTATATGAACGATATTTTTAGAAGTACAAGCTGTTGACTACCTGACGTCCTCCTCTCTTCTTTTATCCAAACTTGAGACCAACAACTATAAGTTATGCGAACGAAGTTTAACTTTATCATGCAGTAGCAAAAAGAATAATATTATCATCTGTCAATTATCTGCTAAACTAGCCAATGATCTATCAAAGTCTCCTGTCAATGTACGTTTGTACATATCTGAGTCTCAATTATTTGTACACAGTAAAAAATGGAAGAAAATAAGGGAGGATTAATTCTCTGGTTGTGAGTTTGGAGCATACTTTTCGATCAATCAGTTAAATCCCCACTAGAACAACACAGTACAGGTGTCTGGTCAGTAGAGTGGTATCAAAATCCCCCACGACAAACACTGACTGCTTGATTTAGATGGTCCCCTTAAAAGAACATTTTAAGTTGTGGTTTATAGAGTCCATTTAGCATAAGCAAAAGTTATTACGCTTAAAGTTCTAAAAGACGCTAGATGCTAATCAGGCGGCGGATTAGAACTTAGCGCTTAGGCGTCTAGGTAGGGCCTAAGCGGACTAGGTAGATTTAAGTAATTTTATGATATATTATATAAAAAGTGTCCATTTATACT